AAACAGCTCTGAGTTTCCACTGAGTTTTTGGGTCATAAATACACACACATACATACACTTTCTCTGTAGATGTTTCTCCTGCTTCACAGGATTGTTGTGGGGAGCAAAAAAAAATAAACAGGGAGGAGAGAGATGTACAGGTTAGGTATCCCTTATCTGGAAATCCAAAATATTCCAAAATTGTCCATGTGGGTGGCTAAGAAAGTGACATCTTTTCCTATTGATGGATCAATATATACAACCTATTTTATGAAAAATTATTAAAAATACTGTATATAAAACTACCTTACATATAAGGTATGTATGAACCAAATAATTTGTACATAAATATATAGTATATCTCTTTATGTATGCACATGCACAGTTCTCCAAAATACAGAAAACACTTCTGGCCCCAAGCATTTTAAATCATGCAGATTTGTACTCATAGTCCAGGTCAGGGTCATTCACACAAATTGGGTCTCATTCTAAATTGCTGCCTCTACTATTAGAACGCTTGGTCTCATAACCAGGTTTTGAGTTTCATTCTAAAGGACAAAAGAGAAGGGGGCAATCTAAGTTCAATGGGTTCCACAGGCAAGGGGCCACCACTGAGAAGGCCCTGTCTCTCGTCTCCACCAGTCACATTTGCGAGGATGGTGGGACCAAGACCAGGGCCTCTCCAGTCAATCTTAGACTTTGTGATGGTTCATAACAGGAGATACGTACAGACAGCTAAGCTGGGCCAGAACTGTTCAGGGCTTTATAGGCTAAAGCCAGAACTTTGAATTGTGCTCAGTAGCAGATCTGCAACCAGTGGATCTGGTGTAGCAGAAGGGTTGTATGCTCTCTGCATGCCGCTTCAGTGAGCAACCTGGCTGCTGTCCATTGGACTAGTTGGAGCTTCCCAACAGTCCTCAAAGGCAACCACTTGTAGTGTGTTGAAGTAATCTAGTTGGGATGAAACGAGAGCATGGACCACCGTGGCACGTGGACCACTGTGCAATCCTGGGATTTATAGTTTGGTGAGGCACTCTCACACACACCCATGATTCCATAGCAATACTTGCCTAAGGAAACACTATGGAACAGACATGGGTAAAATTTGGCCTATTCCTAACAGCCAGTAGAGCTGGGAGTTGGATTCCAAAACACCTGGAGGGAGGGCTAAAGTTTTCCCATGCCTGCTATAAAACCAACTTGAAGTATGTGTGTGGGGTGGGGTGGGGTGGTGAGGGGTGGGGTGGGGTGGTGAGGGGAGGGAGCATCCACACTGCAGCATGCAGTTGGACTCCAGCACTCTTCAGCTGTGAAGGCTAAGGACCTTGCATAGCTCCCAAGAACAGAGGCAGGGAGATTCAAGGAAATCTTATGAATGAAGGGGATTTGGATTGCTGTGAGTTTTCCGGGCTGTATGGCCATGTTCCAGAAGCATTCTCTCCTGACATTTCGCACACATCTATGGCAGGCATCCTCAGAGGTTATGAGGTCTGTTGGAAACTAGGCAAGTGAGGTTTATATATCTGTGGAATGTCCAGAGTGGGAGAAAGAACCCTTGTCCGTTTGAGTAAGGTGTGAATGTTTCAATTGGCCAACTTGATTAGCATTAATGGCCTAGCAGTTTCAAGGTGTGGCTTCTTACTGCCTGCCTTGAAACATTCACCCTTACCTAAAGCAGACAAAAGTTCTTTCTCCCACCCTGGACATTCCACAGATATTTAAACCTCACTTGCTTAGTTTCCTACAGATCCCTCTATTTCTGAGGATGCTTGTCATAGATGTCCGCGAAAGGTCAGGAGAGAATGCTTCTGGAACATGGGATTTATAATTACTCTACAATCAAAGCACATTCTGAACTCCACCAACAATGGAATTGAACCAATCTTGGCACACAGACCTCTCATAACTAACAGAAAATACTGGAAATATTTGGTGGGCACTGACCTTGAGTTTTGGAGTCGCAGTTTACCTACATCCAGAAAGCACTGTGGACTCAAACAATGATGGATCTGGACCAAATTTGGTACCTATACACAATCTGCCCAAATGTGAACACTGGGGGAGTTCGGGGGGAAATAGACCTTGACATTTGGGAGTTGTAGCTGCTGGGATTTATAGTTCACCAAAAAGCATCCTGAACCCCACCAATGATAGCTTTGGCCCAAACTTCCCACACAGAACCCCCATGATGAACAGAAAATACTGTGTTTTCTGATGGTCTTTGATGACCTCTCTGAAACCCCCTCATGAACCCCCCAGGGGTCCCGACCCCCAGGTTGAGAAATACTGATTTAAAACAAGAATTTGGGTTTAAAGCTTAATGGGATGATGGGAGCTTTGCCCTCAAAAGGAAGGAAACTCAGGTCATGATTCCATTTGAACTGCCTGGGATGAATGCCATGGTAACCTGGGATTTGTAGATCTCTACAGCTCCCATGCTGGGCATTAACTCCTGAAACTGCCAGTCCTGGGATTCCATAAGTTAAAGTGGAGCCATGGCACTATACTTGTTTTCTGTGAATGAATGCAGAAATAACATCTAGGCTGCATCTGAACTGACATTTGGGAGTTGCAGTTGCTGAGATTTATAGTAAATCTACAATCAAAGTGCATTCTGAACTCCACCAACAATGGAATTAAACCAAAATTGGCACACAGACCTCTCATAACTAACAGAAAATACTGGAAGTATTTGGTGGGCATTGACCTTGAGTTTTGGAATCATAGTTCACTTACATCCAGAAAGGCCTGTGGACTCAAACAATGATGGATCTGGACCAAATTTGGCACCAATACACAATCTGCTCAAATGTGAACACTGGTGGAGTTTGGGGGGAAATAGACCTGGACATTTGGGAGTTGTAGCTGCTGGGATTTATAGTTCACCTGCAACCAAAAAGCATTCTGAACCTCACCAATGATAGAATTGGGCCAAACTTCCCACACAGAATCCCCATGACCAACAAAAAATACTGTGTTTTCTGATGGTCTTTGGTGACTCCCCCAGGAGTCTTGATCCCCAGATTGAGAAATGCTGGCATAGGGAAACACATGTGAATTAATGGACAATGTATATGGTTCAAATCTGTGGACTCAAACAATGATGGATCTGGACCAAATTGGGCACCAATACACAATCTGCCCAAATGTGAACACTGGTGGAAATAGATCGTGACATTTGGGAGTTGTAGCTCACCTGCAACCAAAAAGCATTCTGAACCCCACCAATGATAGAATTGGGCCATACTTCCCACGCAGAACCCCCATGATGAACAGAAAATACTGTGTTTTCTGATGGCCTTTGATGACCCCCCTGAAACCCCCTCATGACCCCCCCCCCCAGGGGTGTTGTAGCTGCTGGGATTTATAGTTCACCTGCAACCAAAAAGCATTCTGAACCCCACCAATGATAGAGCTGGGCCAAACTTCCTATACAAAAACAATACTATGTTTTCTGATGGTCCTTGGTGACTCCCCCAGGAGTCTTGATTCCCCAGATTGATAAATACTGGCATAGGGCAACACATGTGAATTAATGGACAATGTATATGGCTCAAATCTGTGGACTCAAACTATTTTGGATCTGGACCAAATTTGGCACCAATACACTATCTGCCCAAATGTGAACACTGGTGGAGGTTGGGGGGAAATAGACCTTGACATTTGGGAGTTGTAGCTCACCTGCAACCAAAAAGCATTCTGAACCCCACCAATGATAGAATTGGGCCAAACTTCCCACACAGAACCCCCATGATGAATAGAAAATACTGTGTTTTCTGATGGTCTTTGATGATGCCCCTGAAACCCCCTCATGACCCCCCCCCCCAGGGATGTTGTAGCTGCTGGGATTTATAGTTCACCTGCAACCAAAATTTTATTTTATTTATTTGGGGTTCTTGTACCCCGCCCTTCTCACCCCGTAGGGGACCCAGGGCGGCTTACAAAAGCAAAGGCACGCTTAGATGCCTGCCACACAAAACAATCATCACAGAAGTGCAACAATTCATAGTTACCACAATTCAAGCCATTATCCCAATAAAAACAATAAAAAATCGATAAAATCAATAAAATCAATACAAACCTAATTCTTCCTCCTACCCTATCAGTGTACACTAACTCATAGATCTGTTTTTGATTCCACTTCGACAATCCTGCTGATCTTGCACATCTGATTGTCTTATTTAATTGTCTTATTTAATTGCCTGGTTGCCCAAAGGCCTGGTTCCACAACCATGTCTTCACCCTCCTCCTGAAGGAGAGGAGGGATGGTGATGCTCTGATTTCCCCCGGGAGTGAGTTCCACAGGTGAGGGGCCACCACTGAGAAGGCCCTGCTTCTCGTCCCCACCAGCCTCACTTGTGATAGTGGTGGGGTCGAGAGCAGGGCCTCCCCAGATGATCTCAAACTCCGAGGTGGGACGTAAAGCATTCTGAACCCCACTAATGATAGAATTGGGCCACACTTCCCACGCAGAACCCCCATGATGAACAGAAAATACTGTGTTTTCTGATGGTCTTTGATGACCCCCTGAAACCCCCTCATGACCCCCCCCCCCGGGGTGTTGTAGCTGCTGGGATTTATAGTTCACCTGCAACCAAAAAGCATTCTGAAACCCCACTAATGATAGAATTGGGCCAAACTTCCCACACAGAACCCCCATGATGAACAGAAAATACTGTGTTTTCTGATGGTCTTTGGCAAACCCCCCCTCCAGGGGCCCCCATCCCCTACTTAGTGTGATGAGGTCCTAAGTCCAAAACTTGAGGYAGGGCTGCAGTTTGGCCATGCCTGGTATAAAAGTGATRTTAAGAAAYGGGGGCAAAGGGAGTGTCTACACTGCAGCGTGAATGCAGTTGGACTCCATCCCTCAAGGCAAAGAACCCTGCACAGTTCCCCAGCACTCAAGGCAAAGGACCTATGCTGATAAGAGACAGGGAATTCAAGAGAGCACCCATTCCAAACCAGGGAAGGAAGGAAGAGAGGGAAAGGAAGGGAAGGGGATGGAGGCGCTAATTTCGGACCTGTCCTCGGAGTCCATGCGGCTGAGAGGCTCTCCGTCGGAGGAGGAGACCTCCATGCTGCCCCTGCGTCCGCCCGACGAGGCGCTGCACGTACTGCCTCCTCCTCCTCTTTCTCCTTCTCCCCCGGCTTCTCCTTCGCTGCCTCCGCTGCGGCTGCTGTAGCCCTCGTCGCGGCTGGATTCGCTGCTGGAGCAGGAGGAGGAGGCCGAGGAGACACTGCTGCTGCTGCTGCTGCTTCCTCCGCCAATGAGGCCTCCTCCTCCTCCTTCTCCGCCGTCGTCGCTCTTGCCGCTTCCTCCTCCTCCTCCTTCGATGGCGGAGATTTCCGTCAAAGGCCCCGCTAGGCCTCCTCCTCCTCCGCCTCCTAGTGGCAAGGCCTTGGCGTCGGCTTCGGGGCTGAGGGAGCGGGTCTCGTCGCTGCAGCACCCGCTGGAGGAATCCTCGTCGTCGTCCTCCTCCACTTCATCGTCCTCCTCCTCCTCGTCGTCTCCGTCTCCCGCCTGGCTGGCGCTCTCCGGGCTGGACTCCGACATGCTCTCCGCCCCTTCTCCGCTCAGCAGCAGCGCCGTGGGCTCAGCCTCAGAAACGGGCGAGGCCTCGGCCTCCATTTCCACCAGCGGCGAGGGAGAGGCCTCCTCAGAGGCGCCTGGAGGAGGAAGGAGAAGAGGAGGAGGAGGAGGGAGCAACGGGGAGCCGCCTTCTCCGCTGCTCAGCTCGGCCGCCATGTTGTCGCCTTCCCCTCCCTTCTTCGCCTCTCTCTCTCTCTCCCTCACGAAAAAAGGGGAGGAGCTTCCCACTGCAGCGGGATGACGGACGGACGGACGGAGGGACGGAGGGAAGGAGCGTGCGCGCGGGCGGGCGGTTGGCTGGCGGCGAGGGTGCGCATGCGCGGCCTGGCGCGCGCGCGTTATGGAAGCCGCCTGGGGACAAAAGTGAGGCAAGGACAGACAGCACGTCCAGCTGCGCTTGGAGGCAAAGGGAGGTGGGAGGCGAGGGATAAGCGCAGAAGGCCGAGGGAAATAGGGACGTTCAATAATGTATGAACCAGTTGTTGTTGTTGTTGTCCAGCCTCTGTTTAAAAGCTTCCAAAGAAGGAACCTCTACCACTCTCCCGAGGCAGAGAGTTCCACTGTTGAACGTCTCTTAACAGTCAGGAAGTTAAGTTAACAGTCAGGAGGTTAACTCAGACATCAGAAGAGCTGCAAAACCGAGAACAAGCCACGAAAGTAAAGATGGAGATCCACCCAGAGGAAAAGTGTTTGATGATGTTTTTGATTTTTGCTAGATTGATATTTTAGATTGTGTCTTGAATTTTGTACCTTGTTCTTCTATGTTGTACACCGCAGTGAGTCGCCCCTGGGCTGAGAACTGCGGTATATAAGCAAAGTAAATAAATAAATAGGGAACCACTGACCGCATAGGGAAACTGATGAGGAAACACAACATACAAACCACTTACAGACCCACCAAGAAAATCCAACAAATGCTACGTTCAGCAAAGGACAAGAGGGATCCTCTCACCTCTGCAGGAGTCTACCGTGTACCATGCAGCTGTGGACAAGTCTACATAGGGACCACCAAACGCAGCAGCATTGCCAAACACGCATCAAGGAACATGAAAGGCACTGCAGACTACTTCAACCAGAGAAGTCAGCCATAGCAGAGCACCTGATGAACCAGCCTGGACACAGCATATTAGTATAAAAGTATGATAAGTATAAAATTGTGTGCTGAAATAAAACATATTATACATAAGAGGCAAAAACCAGCACCTATTAATCACCAATTAAAATCCAGTTGGCATTGGAATCAATTAAAAACCTCCATTGCTTAAGTTATAGTCAACTGTTGTCAAAGGCCTGCTTCCATATCCATCTTTATAGTTATTATCCAATAGCAGAGCACCTGATGAACCAGTCTGGACACAGCATATTATTTGAGAACACAGAAATGCTGGACCACCACAACCACCATGTCAGACTACACAGAGAAGCCATTGAAATCCACAAGCATGTGGACAATTTCAACAGAAAGGAGGAAACCATGAAAATGAACAAAATCTGGCTACCAGTATTAAAAAACTCAAAAATTACAACAGCAAAACAACAGAGAGTAAACAATCAGGCACATCAATTCACTCTCAACAAGAGATTCCCCCCAGGCGCTTCCAGGCCATTGAATGCAAATCAAGGTGATCAGCTGAAACATTACCCTGGTCATTCCACAGATATATAAACCAGTTTTTCCTACTTCCAACAGACCTCACTACCTCTGAGGATGCTTGCCATAGATGCAGACGAAACGTCAGGAGAGAATGCCTCGAACATGGCCATATAGCCCGGAAAAACCTACAACAACCCAGTCAGGAAGTTCTTCCTAATGTTCAGATGGATTCTTTTCTTGTAGTTTGAAGCCATTGTTCCATTGCGTCAGTCTCCAGGGAAGCAGAAAACAACTTTGCTCCCTCCTCCCTCTTAACTTCCTCTCACATATTTATACATGGGTTGTTGTAGGTTTTTTCGGGCTATATGGCCATGGTCTAGACTAGAGGCATTCTCTCCTGACGTTTCACCTGCATCTATGGCAAGCATCCTCAGAGGTAGTGAGGTCTGTTGGAACTAGGAAAATGGGTTTATATGTCTGTGGAATGACCAGGGTGGGGCAAAGGACTCTTGTCTGCTGGAGCTAGGTGTGAATGTTTTCAACAATTCAGAGTGCTGGTTTTGATCTACAAAACCCTTTACGGCTCCGGCCCAGCGTACCTGTCCGAACGTATCTCCTTCTACATCCCACCTTGGAGTTTAAGATCTTCAGGGGAGGCCCTGCTCTCGGCCCCACCTTTATCACAAGTGAGACTGGTGGGGATGAGGGACAGGGCCTTCTCGGTGGTGGCCCCTCGCCTGTGGAATGCACTCCCCGGGGAAATTAGGTCATCAACATCCCTCCTCTCTTTCAGAAGGAATTAAAAACCTGGATATGGGACCAGGCCTTTGGGTAAGCTGGCAGATGGATAAAGGACAACGACAACCAGAGTAGGAAAGGACAATTGACAATGCTGGATGGATTATAGCAGGGGTCCTCAAACTAAGGCCCAGGGGCCGGATGCGGCCCTCCAAGGTCACTTACCCAGCCCTCGCTCAGGGTCAACCTAAGTCTGAAATGACTTGAAAGCACACAACAACAACAATCCTATCTCATCAGCCAAAAGCAGGCCCACACTTCCCATTGAAATACTAATAAGTTTGTATTTGTTAAAAATGTTCTTCATTTTAATTATTGTATTGTTTTTAAGTGTCTTTTGCACTACAAGTAAGATATGTGCAGTGTGCATAAGAATTCATTCATTTTTTTCCCCAGGCTATAATCCGGCCCTCCAACTGTTTGAGGGACTGTGACCTGGCCCTCTGTTTAAAAAGTTTGAGGACCCCTGGATTATGGATTTATGAATTGGCAAACATTGACCACAAGATGATTTTATTGCTGCTATTGTATTAATTTGATTGTTTTAACTAGTTATAACTGTTATCGTTATATTGTATTATATTGTAGACAGCAGTGATAGCTGACAGGTCTGATGTGACGATGTGAGCTAGCTGGAGGTATGTGGAAGTCTTCCAGCAAGTGTTCCATTTTGTATGAAGTCTACTTGGCTAGTGGGAATAGGGACTCGATTAGAGTTACCAGGACCTTGGTTGACTACTGAAGTGTCAGATATTCTATGGTTCTGCAAATCAAAAAGTCCCAGTGCTCCCAGTTTATGAGACCTGTTTTCACCACATCACTGTTGTTCATGGTTGAGATGAGGATTCAGATGGTAGGAGACGTCTGGAAAGGAGCAGCAGGCTAGTTGGGGAAGTCATGCTAGAGCTACAGGTGACAGTTTTTCCATCCCTGGGTGCAGATGCAGAAAATGTTAGAATCACCTGATCCCTGCTTGGAGAACTAGTAAGTGGCAACACAGTTCATTAATTTACTCCTGTGAATCTACACGTTGCAGACTTGTCAGACCAAAAGCTGGGGAGACTTTGGCATCTTTATTGGTTGGGTAGAAGAGGGAATTTTTGATGCAACCAAGTAATAAGCAACACCTGCTAAAAATCCCCTCTTGTGCACAACTATAAAAGGTACAAAAACCCTCTCCTGTGTTAGCTCTGGCATCCTGACACATTAGTCTGTTTTCTGAAGCAAAGGTTGTCTGCAATCATAACCCACTAAACAGAACACATTCAATCTAGACTGGCATTGACCAGCATTGAGTTAGATTAGTTGACCCCCAGTGTCTCTTCCAGCTGTAGAATTCTGTGATTCAGTGATTCCAAATGAGTGAAACCTTTCCCGCCTTCATGCTAACTGTTGCACAAACAGCCCATTCTTTGTGTGGCTTTCTCGAATCTTCCATGCTGCACATGGTTCTATCTGTTAATTGGATCCCGTAGACCTCCTTTATGGTGTCAGGTTTCTCCCAGCCAGTCGAAATTGGCCCTTGTCCATGGGCTTGAACTGCCGGTGACCCTATCCATCACGCAAGCTTGACTCTGTCTACACAGATTACTGGGCAAAACCCATGATTGGCTTGGATTTCATCCCAAAGGAGGAGCAAATGGCAGATTTCTGCACTATTACAGTGGGAGCAACTGGAGGCTTTACCCAAATATCTTGAAGCTATTAAGAACGCAACAAAATCTTCTCAAACAAAGGGAAACAAGACACTCACTCATACTGTGAGCTCAGCAAATAACAAGGCCATATAGAAAAAGTACACCCACCTTCCCCTTTTAAAGTTCTAGTCTACACTCATCTTCCAAAATAGTTCAGGCAGTGTTTCTATACAGATGTAACCAATAAAGTCCCACTGGACTTGCAGGATTGTGCTTTGAATAGGCCTGCATAGAATTTCATTGTAAACTTTTCGTTAAATGGATACTCTAAACCTGTCATTTTAACATCCTTTTTTGTGGAAAATACCTTGGGGTGTATTAAATGCCTACTTATTATGTAAGTAAAAAGTTCAAAACCCTATTGCCTTTGGGTTTCAAAATCCTTTTGCCTTTGAACACAGCCACCCTCGGAGTGCCAACCACCTGAGAACTATTCTAAAATTGAATGAGATTATTGGGCTGAAATGAGTTCCCAACCGTTAAACCGGGAACCAGTGTGGTCTAATGGTTCATGCCTTGGACTTCTGCTCTGGAGAATAGGGTTCAAATCCCCTCTCAGCTGTAGAAAACCACAGGGTGACCTTGTGCAGGTTGAACACTCTCAGCCTCAGAGGAAGGCAAAGACTCTGGATGAATCTTGCCAAGAAAACCCTGTGATAGGTTTGCCTTTGGGTCTCTGTAAGTTGGCACAAAGCAAAAACACCTGTTGGACGCAGCATTGCAAAATGGCTATATTTCTTCTGGTAGCATTAGCGCTGCTTTATAGATTAAGTGAGATAGTGATGAACGGTGTAGATATTTCCATTGCTTTCTGTTCTCCTAACACAAGTGAAAAGTAAAATACTTGGGCCCCAAATAATAATAATAATAATAATAATAATAATAATAATAATAATAATAATAATAGAAAAAGGAGACAGAGGGCCTGATTCTTGCAGCCCAAGAACAAGCTGTTAGAACCAATACCATCAAAGCCAGAATTGAAATATTGACAACAGATTCCAAGTGTAAACTCTTCAAGGAAGCCGACAAAATGATGGATCACATCCTCAGCTTCTGCAAGAAGATCACGCAGACAGACTACAAACAGAGGCATTGCTCAGATGATCCATTGGAACTTGTGCCACAAATACCATCTGCCTGCAACAAAGAACT